TAGTAGTAGTAGTAGTAGTAGTAGTAGTAGTAGTAGTAGTAGTAGTAGTAGTAGTAGTAGTAGTAGTGTAGTAGTAGTGTATTAGTAGTCGTAGTAGCAGTAGCAGTAGTAGTAGTAGTAGTAGTAGTAGTAGTAGTAGTAGTAGTAGTAGTTGTAGTCGTAGTAGTAGTAGTAGTAGTAGTAGTAGTAGTAGTAGTAGTGGTGGTGATATTTCATCGCTTCGCTCACTCCGCCGGCTCATTTTCGCGCACCAGGAGGCAGTGCACAGAAGGTTCTTGGGAGTTCTCCGGGGCTTTCGGGGACTTCTGAACCTGGAGCTTTTTTGAGGCTCTTTGGGGCCTCTTGGCGGCCTCCTGGTCGCCTGTTGGGGGCCTCTTGGGGCTGCTTGGGGACCTCTGGGGCTTCCTGGGGGCTACTTATGGCCGAGGGCTCGAAATGTTGTTTCGTGTTCCCCCTCTGGGGCCTCTTTTGGGGCCTTCTTGGGGCCTTTTTGGGTCGTCTTGGAGTCGTCTTGGGCGGTCCTGGAGCCCTCTTGGGCCGTCATGGGGTCCTCTTGGACCCTCTTGGAGCGATCATGGGGACCTCGTGGGCCGTCTTGATGCGTCGGGAAGCCGAAAAGGGGGAAACGCCCAAATCCGTCCAAAACCTAAGGAAATACAATGATTTTTGCCTCTTGGAACCCTCTTGGGAATGCTTTTGGAAGCCTCTTGAGGCGTCTGGGGGCAATCTTAGGCATCATGGCATCTCGGAGCCCTCTTGTTCTATCTTGCGGGCCTCTTGGGGGCCTCTTGGCCCTTCTTGGGGCTTTCTGGAGGGCCTCGAGGGCGGCGCTCACCCGACCCGACCCGGTCGGGGATCTCTGACCCGAACCGGCCGGGGACCGTCCGGGTTTTTTTTTTTGCGTCTGGGGACCCGTAGAGGCCGTTCTGCGCGCGAAGTAGAAATACTGTACGCAGTTCCCGGAGATCTTAGCACGCCTCTGGCCTGTTGGGCCGGCGAAGGAGTAGTGCAAGTAGTAGTAGTAGTAGTAGTAGTAGTAGTAGTAGTAGTAGTAGTAGTAGTAGCAGTAGCAGTAGCAGTAGCAGTAGCAGTAGCAGTAGCAGTAGCAGTAGCAGTAGCAGTAGCAGTAGCAGTAGCAGTAGCAGTAGCAGTAGTAGTAGTAGTAGTAGTAGTAGTAGTAGTAGTAGTAGTAGTAGTAGTAGTAGTAGTAGTAGTAGGTCGTACGGCCTGCGCCTCCGATTTAGTCAGTCTCAGTCTCAGTCTTTCTGCCTACTCTGTGTATAGCGGTTTATAAGAAAACCGAATCGAAAAGGAACGTTTCACGCATCGCCTTCGTGTCAATGGGATTTCTATGCCAAGCGTCACGTTAGTATATTCTTCCTGCTTGCTGCCTGCGCAGCGTCTGTGTTCGGAAAATATGCGAAACGGGGCGTTTCACACGGTCCTTTCGTGCTTAGGTTTCTATTGGCGTTTTTTCCCAACCATCCTGTGGTGTTGGGTCCTCGTTTTGAAGAGACGTCGCCCCGCGTTCCTTCCTCCTCCTCTTCCTTCCTCCTCCTCCCCTTCCTCCCCCCTCCCCCCCCCTCCCACACCCATTCTGTCACACCCCTCACACGCTTCGTGGCCCCATAGGGAGCTCCACCGAAGGCCCCAGTGGCTGCGCCCGCATGCGGTTCCACCCCCCATTCTGGCACACCCCTCACACGTTTCTTGGCCCCATAGGGAGCTCCACCGAAGGCGCCAGTGGCTGCGCCCGCATGCGGTTCCACCCTCCATTCTGGCACACCCTCGCACGTTTCGTGGCCCCATAGGGAGCTCCACCGAAGGCCCCCCGAACGGCCCCAGTGGCTGCGCCCGCATGCGGTTCCCACCCCCCATTCTGGCACACTCCCTCACACGCCTCACAATTTCGTGGCCCCATAGGGAGCTCCAACCGAAGGCCCCAGTGGCTGGGCCCGCAATAGTCGGATCCACCAGCCTCCTATTCCTGGCAACCCCATCCCACTTTTCTGGTCCCCATACGGGAAAGCTCCACCGGGAAGCCCCATCCCAGCTGGCCTGCGCCCGCATGCGTTCCACCCCCCATTCTGGCACATAGACCGAACCCGGGGAAACGTTCGTGGGCCCCCAAGGGAGCTCCACCGAAGGCCCCAGTGGGCTTCGCCCGCATGCGTCCAACCCACCCAATTCTGGCACACCCCTCACACGTTTCGTGGCCCCATAGGGAGCTCCACCGAAGGCCCCAGTGGCTGCGCCCGCATGCGGTTCCACCCCCCATCTGGCACACCCCTCACACGTTTCGTGGCCCCATAGGGAGCTCCACCGAAGGCCCCAGTGGCTGCGCCCGCATGCGGTTCCACCCACCATTCTGGCACACCCCTCACACGTTTCGTGGCCCCATAGGGAGCTCCACCGAAGGCCCCAGTGGCTGCGCCCGCATGCGGTTCCACCCCCCATTCTGGCACACCCCTCACACGTTTCGTGGCCCCATAGGGAGCTCCACCGAAGGCCCCAGTGGCTGCGCCCGCATGCGGTTCCACCCCCCATTCTGGCACACCCCACACACGTTTCGTGGCCCCATAGGGAGCTCCACCGAAGGCCCCAGTGGCTGCGCCCGCATGCGGTTCCACCCCCATTCTGGCACACCCCTCACACGTTTCGTGGCCCCATAGGGAGCTCCACCGAAGGCCCCAGTGGCTGCGCCCGCATGCGGTTCCACCCCCCCTTCTGGCACACCCCTCACACGTTTCGTGGCCCCATAGGGAGCTCCACCGAAGGCCC